CTACAAAATTTAAATCTGGACAGGAGAAGTTGAAAACCAGCTAGAAGTAAAGTATATATTGCTCATAGTTGAATTGGCCATTTTTATATAATGAGGTGGATATTTGTTTGTTTGTTTCTTTGAGACAGAATGCCAAGCAGGTTGGCCTTAGATTCCAACCAGAGCTCCTTATGTATCTGAGAATGACCTCCAACTCCTGATCCTCCTTGTGACCACCTCCCAGAAACTGAGACAGGGTTTCTCTGTGTATCCCTGGCGGTCCTGGACCTAACTCTGTAGACCAGGCTGGCCTCGAACTCACTGTTTTAACCCCCCAGAGAATTCCAGTCTGTACTGTCAAAGGGAGCTGAATCGCGCCTTCTCATGACTGGTGTGCAATGAGGGAAGTTTGTGAGTTGTCATCGTCATGTTTCAGAATCGTTTGTAATCCTTGGGTCTCCTAAAGTGGACTACGGGGGGCAAACTCAGTGGCAGAGCTGCATGTAACTAATGGCAGTGTAAGCAAGAATCCTGTAGGTTCAGCTCCCACCTAGCGAGAGCTTCTTCCGAAAGAAGCATGGACTCCTGTGGAGAAGCCTCGCTGGGCAGGCTGAGGCTCACTGTGTGCTGCACCCGAGCTGCACCCTGGCTGGCCTGGAACTCAATATGTAGACCAGGCTAGCCTCAAAGTTACAGCTATACGTCTGTGCTTCCCAAGTGCTAGGATTAAAGGAATGCATGACTATGCATGTTTCCCTTCTTCCTTCCCTTTCTCCCTCCCTTCCTCCCTCTCCCTTCCTTTTTCTTTGGAGTGGTTATTTGGTAGCATATGATGTCTAGTTAGAGTATTGTGTCCCCTATTATATGTCTTTCTCTCATTTATTTATTTATTTGTTTGTTTGTTTGTTTGATACATAGTGTTGCTACGTAGCCCAGGCTGATCAGGGACTTGTGTGTAATCAAGCATAGTCTCAAACTCAGTATCCTCCTGCCTCACCTTCTCAAGTATAAGAGAGCAAGACTACCTGCCTTGTGACTAATTTAACTATTCTGCCACTAAGTTGGAATTCAGTTTTCCCCCCAGCCCTTTCCCCCAGTGCTGGTTGTTGCATGATGGGGAAGACACCTTTTGTTTAGGCTTTCTGAGATTGGGTGATGAGTGGGAGGGGTTGATGGGGGTGTCTTTTATCTTCTGAATCTCCACAGTGTCAGTGTTGACTTTATAGGTGTATCCTATCACTCCTGCCAGGAAGGTAACAGGTTTAGATGGTGATTTTATACTGTACTCAAAGTTTGTGAAACAGTGTACTGAAGGCATTGCTACTTCTAAACAGATTTGTCACTTAAGAATTCCCAGACTGTTACCCAAGTTTCCTTGTGCCCTTATTTGAAGTCTTAAACACCGTTTTCTTATCCTGAGGTGTGTGTGTGTGTGTGTGTGTGTGTGTGTGTGTGTGTGGTTTTTTTTTTATCACAAACACTGTTTTTTAGACTTTGTATTCAGCGTCTCATCTTTCTTTAACAGTAAAGTTGCCTTTTGGTTACTGACCTAGGAAATAATTGTTTGTAATGGCATTTCACCGGGACATGGTGGAACATGCTGGTGCCTGCTTGAAATCCCAGCACTTGGGAGTAAAGACCAACAGATCAGGAATTCAGTGTCATCATCAGCTGTGCTTTCTAGTTCGAGGCCAGCCTAGGCTATAGGAAACCCGTGAAAAAAACACACACATAACCCCATTCCCAGAACAGGCCTCTCACTTTCAAATTACTGCCCTCAGTTTCCCCCCAGATGTCAGTGTGTGTGTGTGTGTGTGTGTGTGTGTGTGTGTGTAGAAGCTAGAGGTTGGTGTCGAGTATTCTTTAGTCATTTTCACCTTATTCGTTTGTGTGTATGTGAGAGGGTAAGTGTGCGTTATGGCACACACGTAGAGTCAGAGAGCAGCTTGCAGAGGTTGGTATGCTTCTTGGGTTCCGGGGATTGAATTTAGGTTGGTTTGGTGGCCAGCACCCTTATCTATTGAACCATCTCTTCAGCTCCCACTCAAGCTTACTCACTGAGGCAAGGTCTCTCTGTCAAACCCAGAGTTCCCACTATGATTAGTCTTGTTAGCTAGCTTGCTCTGGAGATCCTCTGACTCTACCTTAGAGCCTGGGATTACAGGAGCATTGCCTTGCGCACCCCCCTCCCCCGCATTTACATGGATTCTGAGGATCTGAACTCGGACCTTATACTTAAACGGCAGGTGTTTAATCAGAGCCATCTCCCACACCCTTGTCTTGAGATGCTAACAGTGTTTTATCCACAATCATGGTTGCTGGTCCTGGATTCTAGGTATCACCCATCTCTGCACTCGCAGTGCTGGGGCTAGAGTGAGCTGTAGCATCCAGCTTTTATGTTGGTGAGAGGATGTGAACTCGCTTCCTCATGCTTGTGCAGTAGGTGTTTTATAGATTCAAGACATCTCCCTAATCCCAGGTTTGTAGTTTACGTTTTTTTTTTAATTTTATTTTTAATCTGCCTGCCTGCCTACCTGTGTGCATGTGTGTGTATGTTGTCTATGTGCACATCTGTACACCGCATACATACCTGGTTCCTGCATAGTCCGGAAGAGGTCATTGGATCCCATGCGACTAGAGTTCTCATAGCCTGTTGTGAGCTACCCTGTGGGTCCTGGGAATTGAAACTCCAGGTCCTCTGGAAGAGCAGTCAGTGCTCTTAACCTCTGAGCCATGTCTCCAGCCCCTACTTAGAGAAATGTTTTTGTTTGTTTTGTGTGTGCTTTGTCTGCGTATATCTGTGTACCTCTTGGGTGCCTGTGCCTGTGCCGAGGAGCCCGGAAGAGGACCTGTCGTCTGAACTGGAGTTACAGATGGTTGTGAGCCACCAGATGAGTCCAGTGTTATACATTTAGTATTACTTGTAGTATTGATCTTCCCCCCCCCCCCTTATTTATTTATTTAAAGAATTTCCACTTCCTCCCCTCCTCCCAATACCCTCCCACTCCCGCTCCCCCCACTGTAGTATTGATCTTTAAAATTCCAATATCAGTCTAGCATGGCAGTGCACACATGTAATCTTAATTCTTGGGAGACTGAGGCAAGACGATAGTGAATTTGAGGATAGCTTGGGCTGCATTGCATAAAGAACAAAGCAGAACCCAGCCAAACAAAATCCAAATCTCATTCCTGAAAAAATATGCATGAGAGACTGTGCTAATAGCAAATCTCTTTGGTTTACCAGCTTTTACATTGATTACATACATAATTATATATAATTTCAGAAAGGAAGGTATTCTGCTAAAAATCAGACTAGACTTTTCTTCCAATGCTTTGAGGTTCCCTCCTCATTTTCACATGTATGTGTAGTGTGCATGTGTATATGCAAGCTTTGCATATGTGTGGGCACCTGTGTGTGTGTGGGTGTATGGAATCCTGAGTTTGATGTCGAGAATCTTCCTTGATTATTTGTCCATTTTAATTGGAGTGTGGAGGTCTCTTCATCACACCCAGAGTCTGCCATGTGACTAGTCTGGCTAACCAGTTTGATCTGGGGATCTCCAGTCTCCACCTTGAGAGGCTAGAATTGTAGGTGCGCCACCTCACCTTCCTGACATTTACGTGGGTTCTGAGCCTCTGAACTTGTGTCCTCATGCATATGTAGCAAGTGCCACTGAGTCCTCTCTTGAGGTTAGCACAGTATTTTATCCAAATAATTCCATGCCTGTGGTTTACCTTTAGGTCTGGCTATTGTCATTTATTTGTTTTTTATTGTCTGGCTTAGGGCCTTATGCATACTAGACTAGTGTTGTACCTCTGAACTGCGTCAGCAGCCCTGGCTATCAGTCTTCAGAGATCTACCCTCATCTTCTAAGATGCCAGGGTACCAGTGTAGGTTCAGTTCCTCTTTGTACTTACAGATATAAGATGCATCCTTGGCTTTTCCTGATTCCTGTATGAACTGGTCAGTATTTGAGCTTTAATGTTTTGTCTGTTAAGTAGTTCCTAGTTAGACAAAAGTACCATTTATTGTACTCTGAAAAACAAAACCAAACCAAACTATGTCTACCCCAGACTCTGGGATCCCTTCGTTGTACCAACATCAATACACATCCTCTGGGATTTCCTTTGCTGGTGGTTCTTTTGCTCTCACTGTCTCTGGCCTTGCTGGAGAAGAAAGGGAAGACCTGCCAGAGGAAGCGCTATGCTTGTTTGGACAGTGCTGGAGATTGAACTCAGCCATCGCGCTATAGCCCCAGCCCGAGGAAACCCTTGAAAATAAGGTGTCTAGACGGCTCTTGCCGTGGCAGTCAGCACTTCAGCAGATTACGAAAATCTCTTGGGGGTCTGCCTGACTTTTCATTTGTTTCATGCCTTGGCTTTTGTTGCTTTCATGAGGCAGCTTGTTTGTCTTGTTTTCAAATATTTCACAGCATTGTTCTTCACAGAGGCTATTCCATATGCTCCGAGCACACGTATGTGAGACTCAGATGATCTTGTTCAGCCCTATCTTGCAATCCATCAGGCTGAACAATTTGGCTGATTCAGTACAGATTCTTACACAATCTCTCACCTTACTCTCCATCAGATACCTTTGCAATGTGTATGAACGTAGTTCTTGGTGATTAAAACCCAGTTGTAGGAGCACACTGATCAGCTCATGGTCCAGCCATGATGTCAAGTCCCCATCAAAGTGCATATCTAGATACAGAAGCTGCTCCATAGAACAACACCGTAGTGCTGGGTGTGAGGGGTGAGGTGAGGAGGAGGAGGATAGCTACACCCTCCAAGCAGCCAATAAGACATTTCCTGCAGGGCGCAGTGGGAAAACAAGCTTAGCCGTGTGTGTGAATCAGTTCAGCCCTCAGCAGCAGAAGCTGCACCAACAGGAGCTGCAGCCCGCTGTCTTGGTTTGTCTTCTGTTGTTTGGGATGGCTGGTGTTATATGAATTTGCCCGATGGTCTTTTCTTTTTTTTTCTCCAGAGCAGTCACCATACAACAAATATCCTTTTCTTTCCAGTTTCCAAAAAACGACTTACAGCAAAATGAATAATCCAGCTATCCAGAGAATAGAAGACCAAATTGTCAAGTCTCCTGAAGACAAGCGAGAATACCGTGGACTGGAGCTGGCCAATGGTATCAAAGTGCTTCTCATCAGCGATCCCACCACGGACAAGTCGTCAGCGGCCCTCGATGTGCACATAGGTACAGTGCAGCCCTGTGGGTGATGCAATGGCAACAGATTTGCTAGAGGGTGCCGTGAGTGTCAGGACCCAATAGCTGTCACATTTATGATTTTTGTTATTATTTTATTATTGATGGTTTTGTTTTTGAGACAGGATCTCACTCTGTAGCCTAGGCAACCTAAAATTCACTGTGTTGCCCATGTTGGCTTCTTAATTTGATATGATCCTCCTGCCTCTCAAGCGCTGGAGTTATAGACATGAGCCACCATGCCTGCTTGTGGTGTTTTGAGACAAGGTCTCACTGTTAGCTCAGGTTGGCCTGGAACACGTTATTAATAGAGTCTTGTTATGTTTCCAACTTAGGTGATATAGCAGCAAAGAAATTCATTCCATCCTTTAAGCCAGTTCTTTTTTTCTCTTGTATAATGAACTTGTTATTTGATGGACTCTTGTGTATACATTTCTTCTAAATGTAATGTTACTTTTTAGTCCTCTTAACCTCCTACATACATAATATGCTTAATGGGAAACTACTTCTTTTTAATAGTTTTTTTTTTAAATTAAAGGTTTATGCGACATTTTTGTTTGTTTGTTTGTTTTTTGAGACAGGGTTTCTCTGTGTAGCTTTGAATCCTGTCCTGGAACTAACTCTGTAGACCAGGCTGGCCTCAAACTCATAGAGATCTGCCTGACTCTCGAGTGCTGGGATTAAAGGCGTGCGCCACCACTGCCCAGTTCACTGACATTTTATAATGGGGGAATAAGCTAATATTGAACAAATAACTACTGCTTACCTTAATGTAGTGCTTTGCAAATATCTAATTTTGTTTCTTTCCTTTCTTCCTTTCTTCCTTCCTTCCTTTCTTTTTTTTTTTTTCAGACAGGGTCTCTATTATGTAGCCCTGGCTGTCCTGGATCTCACTATGGAGACCAGGCTACTAATATCTAATTTGTATTCAAGGGATTAAGATAGTAATACATAAAAGACATAATTGAAGCAAGAGAAGTATTCTGCTTAAAATTTCACTGCTATGTTGAGTGTAGTGGCTCACACTTTAACACTTGCAATTGGGAGTTGAAGTTTGGAGAATTACTGCAAGTTTGAGACCAGTGAGGCACATATAGAGACTTTCTTTCAGAATAGCAGTATAAGGAAAATTAGAAATAAGAGCGTTTTGTAGTTGTGGGGCTGCTGCTCCTCAAATGAGGCTTCCCAGGGACACCACTCAGTTGGTCCAGTGCTACCCCGTAAGTGATGGCCAGGCAGGAGCTAGATAGAGCCTGGGTCTTCTTGTTTACTTTCTAAGTAATGCCATTTTTAGAGCAACCTCACTTGCCTCTCTTGGTGTGTGTTATGTTGAGAATTTCAGACCACTTATAACCCATTAAAAAGTGATTAATTGCATATGCATTTTAATAATGACGTGTGTTGTCTCTTCCAGGTTCATTGTCAGACCCTCCAAATATTGCTGGCTTAAGTCATTTTTGTGAACATATGTTGTTTTTGGGAACAAAGAAATATCCTAAAGAAAATGAATACAGCCAGTTTCTCAGTGAACATGCCGGAAGTTCAAACGCCTTTACTAGTGGGGAGCACACCAACTACTATTTCGATGTTTCCCACGAACACTTAGAAGGAGCCCTGGACAGGTAACGCTGAATGCCCTGCAAAAGATCTAATTTTGTTCAGTTCCTCACGTTAATAAAAATAGTAATTATTGTTTTTACAGAGATGATATCACCATTTTTTAATTTAACAAAGATATTGTAGGACTGCTGAGCTGGTCAGTGTGGCCCTGGCTGCCTGGCTTGTTGACCTGAGTTTGATGTAGGATTCGCATGATGGAAGGGGACATAAGTCACCCTCCGACCTCCACGTACCTTCCTCTTCTCCTCCCTGCTCAAGATAATTAAAAAAAGTATTTTTTGTTTTAAAAGGTATTTGTAGCCAGGTATGGTAGCAAATGCCTCTAATCCTACTGTGGAGGCAGAGCTAGGTGGATCCTGTGAGTTCCAGGACAGCCAGGGCTATATAGTGAGATCCCGTCCTTAGAAAACAAGAAACCGTGTTAAAAAGCAGAAAAATTAATGAGAAATGTCACATATTCACATCAGAGTAGACAGAAAATAATTATACAACTGTAAATTGGCCTTTAGGACCATAAAATATTATATTGACTTATAAAATTCTTACAAGCCCTTCTCATTGTAACTGGATTCTCATCTTTAACGATGGTAAAGAATAACCTGTGACGGCCTGGAGGCATGACTCAGCTGTAAGAGCACTTGTTGCTCCTCCAGAGAGAATCTGGGCTTGTCCCACCATGCACGTGGTGACTCATAGCTGTCTGTAGCTCCAATTCCAGAGATTCTGATGCCCCCCTCTGGCCCCAG